GGGAAATTTTATACGTGAAATATTTCTGCTGTGATTTTTTAGTGAAAAAAAAATTATTTCATTCAAATAATCGACTATTAATAAAAATAAATATTTACTAAATAATTTTTTATTTGAATTAAATACCTATTTAATTGGCACAAATAATAACTGTTTAAATAATATTTATTAGGTATAAATAAACATTTATTTCATATAAATAAGCATTTATTTGGTATAAAAATATAAATATTTATTTGATATTAGTTTTGATTTACTTTTGACACAAAAAAAGAATTTATGTTTATAAATGAAAGACAAAATCTATATAAGTCTTAGAAATTTATACGACTCTGTCTCTTTGACTTCTTTTTGAGCAAAGCAGACAAATTTTTTATCGAAAGCATCCAACTTAGACCGCTCCCTATTCAACAAAACGATTTCATACGAGTGAGCTGGGCTCAAAAAAAAAAAAAAAAAAAAAAAAAATCGGATCCCTAGTTTAAATAAAGAGCTGTTCTCGCGACATAGCGATCCGCTACTGATGTTTGCGAAATGCATTAGACGACAAGGATCCGGAGCTTTACCCTACAGAGAATGGGGTGAGTTTCATGAAACGATAAATCGATCTGAGGGATGCGAAATTTACATGAGGAACATCCTGTTAACTGGGAAAAATAAGTAGCAAAAAAAAATTTGAACGGGTTTACAAAGGAAAAATAGGGTTGAAAAAAAAGTAAATAATTTTCATTGGGGAAAAGTTAATATTACTGTTAAATTTATATTTACAACTTTATTATATTAAAAAGTATTTACCGCTGACGATAGGAAAGTTGTAAATAAAAAGAATGTAAATAAAAAAATTGTAGGTTCAAAAAGTCACAAAAAATTTTTTTTCAAAATTTCTCAATAAAATTGTAAGTAAAAACGGTATTAAGATTTTTAAGTTAAGGTTGTAAGTAATAATACCAGTAAGTTTTTAGGTTGTTAATAAAAAAAGGTTGTTAGTTTCGAAGTTGTAAGTAAAGAAGGTAGTAAATTTTTTAGATGTAAGTAAAACGTAAACGTAAAATGTAAGAGTAAGTAAGAAGCTAGTAGGATTTAAGGTTGTAATTAATAACACCGGTATGTTAAAAAGTTGTAAGTAAAAAATGTCGTCCGTTTCGAAGTTGTAAGTAAGAATTTAGTAAGATTTAAAGTTATAAACTCTAAGGTTTTAAGTAAAGGAAAAGAATATTAGTTTTCAAATTGTACGTTAAAATGTAGTAAGTTTTAATATTTTAAGTAAAAAAAAAGGTAGTAAGTTTTAACGTTGTAAGTAAAAAAGGTAATAAGTTACAAGGTTGTAATAAATACTAATAATTTTTAAAGTAGTAGGTAAAAAAGGGTTGTTCGTTTCCAAGTTGTAAAAAAATAGTAAATTTGAAAGTTATAAGCTTTAAAAGTTGTAAGTAAAAAGGGTTGTTAGTTTCGAAGTTGTAAGTAAAAATGTAGTAAGTTTTAAGGCTGTAAGTACAAAGTAAACATGAAAGGCAATAGCAAGTAAGAAGGTAGTAAGTTTTTTTAAATAAAAAAGGTTGTTAGTTTCGTAGTTGTAAATAAAAAGGTAGTAAGTGTTAAAACTGTAACTAAAAAGGTTGTTAGTTTCGTAGTTGTAAGTAAAAATGTAGTAAGTTTGAAGGCTGTAAGTATAAAGTAAATATGAAAGGCAATAGCAAGTAAGAAGGTAGTAAGTTTTAACGGTGTAAATAAAAAAAGTTGTTCGTTTCGAAGTTGTAAAAAAGTAGTAAATTTGAAATTTATAAGTTTTAAGGTTGTAAGTAAAAATTAGTTATAGTGGGTAAAAAAGGATCGTTCATTTCGAAGTTGCAAGTAAAAAAAAGTAGTAAATTTGAAAGTTATAAGCTTTAAGGTTGTAAGTAAAAAGGGTTGATAGTTTCGAAGTTGTAAGTAAAAATGTAGTAAGTTTTAAGGCTGTAAGTATAAAGTAAACATGAAAGACAACAGCAAGTAAGAAGGTAGTAAGTTTTAACGGTGTAAATAAAAAAGGTTGTTCGTTTCGAAGTTGTAAAAAAGTAGTGAATTTGAAATTTATAAGTTTTAAGGTTGTAAGTAAAAATTAGTTATAGTGGGTAAAAAAGGGTCGTTCATTTCAAAGTTGCAAGTAAAAAAAGTAGTAAATTTGAAAGTTATAAGCTTTAAGGTTGTAACTAAGAAAGTAATAAGTTTCAAGGTTGTAAGTTTCAAGGTTGTAAGTTTCAAGGTAGTAAGTTTCAAGGTAGTAAGTTTCAAGGTAGTAAGTTTCAAGGTAGTAAGTTTCAAGGTAGTAAGTTTCAAGGTAGTAAGTTTCAAGGTAGTAAGTTTCAAGGTAGTAAGTTTCAAGGTAGTAAGTTTCAAGGTAGTAAGTTTCAAGGTAGTAAGTTTCAAGGTAGTAAGTTTCAAGGTTGTAAGTAATAACACCAGTAAGTTTTAAAGTAGTAAGTTTCAAGGTAGTAAGTTTCAAGGTTGTAAGTAATAACACCAGTAAGTTTTAAAGTTCTAAGTAGAAAACCTTGTAGTTTCGAAGTTGTAAATATTAAAATATTAAGTTTTAAGGTTGTAAGTAAAGAAGGTAATCAGTTAAAAAAGGTAGTAAAATTTAAAGATTCAAAGTTAAAAAAAACCTACTAAATAAAAACAAAAGCTAGAAAAACATTTGTAAAAATCGCAAATAATTTTCGGTATCGCAATTCAAAAAATAAAAAATAGAAAAACTATAAGAGAAAATGGATTGAGGAGTGGAAGAAAAATAGAGGGACAAGGAAGGCAAAGAAGAGAGGAAAAAAAAGAGAAGCTTCAAGTGGTTCTCATTGTTGAGGTAGGGTAAGGGGGGCACGGGGGGGGAGAGAGGTTTGAAGAGATGAGAAGTAAAAGGCAAACTGGGAACGAAGGGGAAAGGGAGGAGAAGGGCAGAAAACTGAAAGCGTCGATGCGGCTTAAGGCCTATGTACGTTTCGGAGGCTTAACATGAGATAGGGTGACATGGTGTGTGGTAGCTCGTAACTCGTGGTTGCTTCGTACAACGGCCGCATACCCACCCACCCCCTCCTTTTTTTTGAGTCCTTTGTCTATGTCTTACGGCTTACATATAATTCCGTGTTTGCAGAAAGGATTTCGCACGATGCGCTGCTACATGCAGATTTTTAATATGTCGTACCTACCTAACTCTACAAGTACCCCAGTTACAATGTACCGCATATGTACTTCCACGCGCTCTTTTTACCTCCCCCCCCTCTCTCAGAGATGAACGATTTCAACAACAAAAAAAAAGAGAGAGAGAGAGAATGAAGAAAAAAACCCTCGACCAAAACAACTCCGGAAGCCGGAATAATTAAAAATTGCTCTATTTTAAAATACTGATGAGTCAGTTGTGTTGGGAGAGAAGAGATGAAAAGGGGGGTTTCGTATGTGGAACACGGGTCAACATAGGGCGCATTAGTGTCCTCGGTGAGTGTTGAATCAACTAAATATAGAGAATAGACGAGAAGCGAAAAAATAACTTGATATCGCATGGATATGATGATATTGATCCCAAAGCGGACGACAAGTATTATGCTAATCGTTTGCTCAAGCTACTGTAATATAACCTTTTTTTTGAATTTTTTCCTATTCATAAATTCTGGGTTGAAAAAAAAATGAATAATTTTTTATTACAAAAAGAAATTTCGAAAATATTTTCAAGAATATTAAAACAATTTTGATTTAAAAAAACCGAATTTTTTACTTGTAAAGAATAAATATTTCAATTGAATTTTTGGAAAAATGTAATTTTTTTGTTTTTAGGTGATTGTATCAACAACAGGTGGTTGTATATAATTTCATTGCGTTTTACAATAAAATTGACATTTTCCAAAAAAAAGAAATCCTCTTGGAATAAATTAATTTTTAAACATATTAAAAAAAAAACGATATCCTTTTTTTTTCCTTAAATTTTATAAAAAATTATCCCTCATGGAATGTCGAAATTGTGGTTGAGGAATTATTTTTTTTTTCTTTTTTAATCCCTTTTAAAAACCCAATAGCTGATGGAAAATTGAATTTCCTAGTGAAATTGTGAAACCACCTGTTGTTGATTTAGTCGATTTCTGCACTACGTAAATGTCACAAAAACACCAGAGTACCGGCTTTAATCCTCTCTTCAAATTTACATGTTACACTTCACTTATTAGCCGAAAAAAATACATATATATATATATATACAAATATGAAAAAAGATCGAATTTCTCATATTTTATTACAATAATAATTCAATTTACATTGTAGTTAAATAATTTTTTTTTTGATTTTATATATAAATTTTTTTTTGATTTTATATATGAATTTTTTTTTGAATTTTTTGTAAAAAATTAAGTACGATATATAAAAGACGTGAAAGAGTGAAAAAAAAAAAACATCGAGTGGCAAATTTGAATGAATGGCCCTTTAAATATTTGAGTCTAATTTGACGGAAACAGAGAAACTTGTTTGGACGATGGAAAAGAAAGGTTCGCGCGGTTAACTTATACAAAAAAAAGGATATTATAGCCTTGTGGAATTTTATTTTCTGTTTTTTCTTGTTTTTTTTTTTTTTTTTTTTTGTTTCGGTCGGTCGTAACAGGTCGAAAAGTAGGAAACCCTGTCGAAAGATTAGAACACGACCTCGCTCGTGTCCAAGTAATACCAGTTGGGTAATATCTCACCATTAGGCATAATCATCCCTTGCACACACATCCGCCAAGCATACAGCCAACGTAGTCAGGCTTGCTCCCCCCCCCTACCCTTCTTCTTTAATGCCTTATAATTTATAACACCTCATCCTCCTTCTGCATTCGTGCAGCCTCGCGGAAAATATATCAGTGTTAAAGTTAAAGGCTTTCTCGTATAGCCAAGAAAGTAAGCCCCCGCCGAGCCAAATTTATAAATATGGCATCTAATATTCTTCTCTCTAGTCATCTCAGATCAGAAAAAAAAAAATTAAAAAAAATTCATCAACTTTCTTTTCCCCATTCCTTTTGCAAGTTTAATGACGTCGTTCAATTACAGAGGTCAGTGCCCACGCGGAGAGTTAATGACAAGGAAAAACAGTCACGGGGTTCTCATTTTCCTTGAGATTCAAATTTTATTTTTAATTTTTCTCAGCAATCTTTTTTTGATAAATGATTTACTTTTTTTTTTTATAACCTTTTTTATTTATTTTTATTTACAACCTTATTCTATATTTAATTATATTTATTTCATTTACTTATTATTTAGAAACCTTATTTTAATTTCAATTTTACCACCTACAATTTTTTTTACCTTTACATTCGATTGTAAGTAAAAAGGTTTTAAATTAAATTGGGATTTTTGAGGTTGTACGTAAAAGAAAGCTTATTAGTTTTGAAGTTGTAAGTAAAAAGGTAGTAAGTTTTAATGTTTTAAGTAAAAAAAGGTAGTAGTTTTGAATTTGTGTACGTTAAGTTTGTAAGCTGTAAAGTAGTAAGTAAAAAAGGTAATAAGTTTTAAGGTTGTAATGAATACTAATAATTTTTATAGTAGGTAAAAAGGATTGTTCATTTCGAAGTTTTAAAAAAGTAGTAAATTTGAAATTTATGATCTTTAAGGTTGTAAGTAAAAAATTAGTAAGGGTTGTAAGTAAAAAGTAGTAAGTTTTAAGGTTGTAAATAAAAAGGGTTATTAGTTTCGAAGTTGTAAGTAAAAAGGTGGTAAATTTTAAGGATGTAAGTAAAAAGTAAACGTGAAAAGTAATAGCAAGTAAGAAGGTAGTAAGTTTTATGGTTGTAATTAAGTTAATTTTTCTCAACAATCTTTTTTGATAAATGATTTACTGTTTTTTTTATAACCTTTTTTATTTATTTTTATTTACAACCTTATTCTACATTTAATTATATTTATTTCATTTACTGTTTTTTAATCTATTTTTACCTTATTTTAATTAGAAACCTTATTTTACTTTCAATTTTACCACCTACAATTTTTTTTACCTTTAATTTCGATTGTAAGTAAAAAGGTAGTAAATTAAATTGGGATTTTTGAGGTTGTACGTAAAAGAAAGCTTATTAGTTTTGAAGTTGTAAGTAAAAGAAAGCTTATTAGTTTTGAAGTTGTAAGTAAAAAGGTAGTAAGTTTTAATGTTTTAAGTAAAAAAAGGTAGTAGTTTTGAATTTGTGTGCGTTAAGTTTGTAAGCTGTAAAGTAGTAAGTAAAAAAGGTAATAAGTTTTAAGGTTGTAATGAATACTAATAATTTTTATAGTAGGTAAAAAGGATTGTTCATTTCGAAGTTTTAAAAAAGTATAGTAAATTTGAAATTTATGAGCTTTAAGGTTGTAAGTAAAAAAATTAGTAAGGGTTGTAAGTAAAAAATAGTAAGTTTTAAGGTTGTAAATAAAAAGGGTTATTAATTTCGAAGTTGTAAGTAAAAAGGTAGTAAATTTTAAGGATGTAAGTAAAAAGTAAACGTGAAAGGTAATAGCAAGTAAGAAGGTAGTAAGTTTTATGGTTGTAATTAAGTTTCAAAGTAGTAGGTAAAAAGGGTTGTTCGTTTCGTAGTTGTAAGTAAAAGAGTACATAGTAATTTTCAAAGTTATAAGTTTTAAAGTTGTAAGTAAAAATAAAGTAAGTAATAAAGAAAAGGTTGTAAGTAAAAAGGTTGTAAATTAAAAAAAATTCTAAAAAGGTTTTAATTAAAAATAGTAATAATTGCAATAAAGTTTGTAAGTAAAAAGGTTGTAAACAAAAAGGTTGTAAACAAAAAGGTTGTAAGTAAAAAGGTTTAAACAAAAAGGTTGTAAACAGTAAGGTTGTAAATAGCAAGAATTGAAGGTACAAAATATTATTAACCCATAAATTTGTAAAATCTATAAAATTATAAGTTTTTTAAGAAAAAAAAATTACGATAAATTGTAAAGATTGTAGATCACGAGTTCTAATGAAAAAAAACACAATAATTAACCTAATATTACCAGCTGTTGGTTTACGACTATTCGCATAGCAAAAAGAAAAAAAAAACTTGTCTTTTCGAGGACTTTATGTTATGCATAAAATGCAATAGAACTTCTGAATTGTTATTCTAGGCATAAATTGAGATAAGAACTCTTGCCACTTATGTAAATTCAACATACGAGGGCAAAGTTAGCATAATGATTCCAATACTATTCCATTGATAGAGAGCTTTTCTTAGAACAGAAACTCAAAGTGTAAATTAGTGGACTTTAAAGTCAACCCTCTTTTTTTTTTTTGCCCACCACCACCACCACATTTTTTTCATATATAAAAATCTTTATAATTTTCAATAAATTATTATATACCTATGGGAATGAATATACAAAAGAAGGATTCTTAAAAAGAAAATTTACATTCGTAAGAAAAATGTCAAAAGATCAAAAGAGGAAAAAAAAAGAAAATTTTCATGTTCAGAGAGAAAGAGAAATATAACTATCAATCAAAAGTTATTCCAGAATAGATTGGAGGGTAATAAAGGGTGTGTTTAAAAGGGGGAAGAGAAAAGGCGCCGATATTCGAACACATTTCTATACCAATTTTACAATAATTTTAGAACTTGGTTCGATATTTGCCGCACCTTTAAAAAGAGGGGTAAAAAAAGGGGGTGGTTATATATATATGTATCTACTACCAATAACCATGGGTAGGGTAGTTAGGCCCGTTAGGTAATATCTACTTCCTCTGACGCCATTTTTCTTTCCTTCATAAAACACTCTCTGATCTGTGGGTGCGGCACGGACGCACGAATCACTCTCCCCCCCCCCTCCCCCTTCGCAACCATCATGCGGACTAGCTTACAAATTGCAAATTCTTATGAGAATTTCAATCGATAGCTTCCATTCTTGAATTAATAATTCTCAAAGATATTCCGATGAAATGTCTTAGTGCTGAGATAACATTTCTTTGCGAGCCAATTAAAGATTCGCGTACAAAAATATCTGATTTGAACCAAAAAAATGAAAATTAAAAGTTTTTGTTCATTAAAGAAAAAGATTTGAAAAGTTATAATTAAAAGAATAATAATTTTTTATTAGAAAGAAACTAATTCACAGAAAATTATAAGGTATTAAAATAAGCTGCAACGAATCCAATTTTGCTTATTTTAATACCAAAATGGATTAAAATAAGCAAAATTGGATTAAAATAATAAGCGTTGCAGCTGCCTTTTAATTTTCTGTGTTGAAAAAAAATTTTTTTGATTCAAATAATCGATTTACTATTATCAAATAAATAATTACTTGGACCAAATAATTTTTATTTATGTATATCAATTGTCTGTAAAAGAATAAAAAAAAAATTCATCTTACTTACATTTTGCGCCGCCTTAGCCTACAAATGATAATAATGGACTTTCAACACTCACCTGAAACAAAGAAAAAAAAATTTGTCAGTTATATTTATCAATTTTTTCATTACATAATTAATTAAAAAAAAAATAATTAGTATAGAGGGGAAATTTTAACTGTTCATTACAATGAAAAAAAATAAAAAAGATAAGAGAAATCAGAAAATAATCTCTAAAAGCTTCATTGTTAAAATTTTTGGATAGTACACACTAACGACGTGTTTCAATTAAGGAAAAATGAGTATAGAAGTAAAAAAAAAAACGTGTTCAACATTCTGAAACGATGGTGATCGCAATCACGTCGTAAATTCGTAGCGTTCGTGTAAATTCCACCTCAACACAAAGCCCGTCGAGTCCAGCGTGTATTCCGTCAAACTCAGTTATTTATAGGTTAAGTAAGAGAGTTCTCTCCCCCCCCCCCTCTCTCTCTCTCTCTCTTCCTCTCTCATATAGAGCGTCTCGTTCGCGATACGAATCGACCATTTTGTAAATCAGTTCCTCCATTTTGTCTTCATAAATCAAGAGATAGAAAACTCAGAGAGAAAGAGAGAGAGAGAGAGAGAGGGGGGGCAGAGAAAGAGAGAGAAGAGAGAGAGGACGCTGATTATAATTAACGCGGCTCGAATTAATAGACACGCGAAAAGGGTGTCGTGAACTATATCCTTTTCTCTCTTCATATGTTTTTCTCTTTATATATATATATATATATATATATACTTTTACTAACATTCTCACATTTACCTCAACTATTTAATACGTCCATCCGTCTGTCCGTCCGTCCGGACAGGAAAAGGGGCGGGGATATGCCACGCGAAAATCACGCGATGCCAAATCAAAAGTCAGTTTAACACGTTCTTCTTCCTTTTTGTTCTATAAGCTTTACATTTTATAACTTCCTTGCTATATTATCTATATTTTGAAAATAAAACACACGCAAATAAACTTAAAACCAATTTTTTTAAATTAAAAAATTAATTAATTTTATTCTAATCGATTTTTATTGTAATATTAATTATTTTAATCAAGGTATAATATATAATATTTATTATATTATAAATTATTTATTAATAATAATAATAATAATAATAATAATAATAAAAATAGTAAGAATAATAATAATAATAAAAAAAGTAAGAATAGTAATAGAAATAATAAATTTTCTTTTTTTCAGAATCGAGATAAAAAAAAGGTAAAACAAAAATTTTTCTTTTTTTTTCGGGAAAATGACAACATGAACAAGTGAGTAATAAAGTTTTTGCATTTTTTTTTCTCTAGTGAAAGTAGTTAAAGAATTATGTCTTAAAAATTGAATCCCTTTTGGTGGTCACGTTACGGCTTTAACAATTGGAAAACTTTTGCATGAATATAAAGGCTGACGTGACAATTACGAAAGTTCAATGCAATATCCGAATACATGAACGAAATTTTAATTTGAATATATCTTCGTCAAAATTGACTATATTTTATTTTGAGTTGAATACGATAATTTAAAAATGAAGGAAATGATTTTTTAAAAAAAATTATTTAAATATTGAGAAGTAGGTTTTTTTCTACTAAGAAACTTTTTCTTTATTTAATTTTATTGAATTTACAACCTTATTTTACAACCTTATATTCTTTATAAGTATATACAGTAGGTAAAATAATTTTACTTTATCACCGAGAACTTTTTTTTCAATTCTTACTATTCTTACAACTTTCTTTAATATTTATCACTATTTCTGCTTTTGAATAAATAGTTGCAAATAATTTTTATTGTAAGTAAAAATCACTGTAAGTATAAGTCATATTTTTTAATTAAAAGTGGTAAGTAAAGAAGGTTGACATTAAAAATGTAAGTATTAAGATTCTTTAAAAAATCTCGAAAGGTTGTAAATAAAAAAAATCAAAAAGGTTGTAAGTATAGAGGTTGTAATTATAAAGGTTGAAAGTATAGAGGTTGTAATTATAAATGTTGTAAGTATAGAGGTGGTAAGTATAGAGGTTGTAATTATAGAGGTGGTAAGTATAGAGGTTGTAATTATAGAGGTTGTAATTATAGAGGTTGTAATTATAGAGGTTGTAATTATAAAGGTTGTAAGTATAGAGGTTGCAATTATAAAGGTTGTAAGTATAGAGGTTGTAATTATAAAGGTTGTAAGTATAGAGGTGGTAAGTATAGAGGTTGTAATTATAGAGGTGGTAAGTATAGAGGTTGTAATTATAAAGGTTGTAATTATAAAGGTTGTAAGTATAGAGGTTGTAATTATAAAGGTTGTAAGTATAGAGGTTGTAATTATAAAGGTTGTAAGTATAGAGGTTGCAATTATAAAGGTTGTAAGTATAGAGGTTGTAAGTATGGAGGTTGTAATTATAAAGGTTGTAAGTATAGAGGTTGTAATTATAAAGGTTGTAAGTATAGAGGTTGTAATTATAAAGGCTGTAAGTATAGAGGTTGTAATTATAAAGGTTGTAATTATAAAGGTTGTAAGTATAGAGGTTGCAATTATAAAGGTTGTAAGTATAGAGGTTGTAAGTATGGAGGTTATAATTATAAAGGTTGTAATTATAAAGGTTGTAAGTATAGAGGTTGCAATTATAAAGGTTGTAAGTATAGAGGTTGTAAGTATGGAGGTTGTAATTATAAAGGTTGTAAGTATAGAGGTTGTAATTATAAAGGTTGTAAGTATAGAGGTTGTAATTATAAAGGCTGTAAGTATAGAGGTTGTAATTATAAAGGTTGTAAGTATAGAGGTTGTAATTATAAAGGTTGTAAGTATAGAGGTTGTAATTATAAAGATGGTAATTATGAAAGTTATAAGTAAAGAGTTTGGGGTTAAAAATTGTAAGTAAAAAAAAATAAATTTAGTAAAAAAGGTTGTAAGTTATATTAGATTTAACATAATGTTTGAAAGTATAGAAAATATTACTTCCTTCTTTCATTATTTACATATATTATATTTTTCAAACAGAAAGCTTTTTAAACATAGGTCCTGCATTCTTTCTACACTCTCAGCCTGATCCTATTTTTCTTTTAAAGCATGTTTTTGTGTTCCTCCTTCTCTAATAAATAATTAATAATAATCCACACATATATTCGAATGGTGAGAGCTGATAATTCTTGAGTAGCCAACGCACGCGTGCACACGCTCTCTAGACATGGTATGCATAATTTAGAATCGGGGTGACGGGAACAAGAGTTTACGGGAGAAGAGAAGAGGAGCACAGCCGCCACGACCCGGTGGCGAAAGGGTTAAAACATTGGGGGCTTGATAAAAGATTCAACAAGATTTCAGAGGCTCAAAAACATTGTTTAGTTGGTTGCACGGCCCATGTAGTCGTCTCATTTATTATTTCTACGACACAGGGGTAAGAGACGCACCACTCGTATATAGAAAATGAAACGTCCGGTATACGAGATATGCAATGTATTTTTTTTTTTTTTTTTTTTTTTGCGAACAAGTTCTTTTGTCCTCAAACAGAAAAACAAAAGCTCTTGACTTTCTCGAATGATGACTATATTATCGTCGAGAATTGTTGTTTACCTCAAAAAAAAAAAAATTTACAATTTATCCCGAGAGCTATATATAATACAACTTCTCTGTCTCTCGATAAATACTCCTTGATTCATGATGGTCAAGTTGAAACTTGCTGGACAACTATTTTTTGCGTCGCTTTACTGCCATAAACAAATTAGTCTAATTGCACGATACTAATTACGCTAAGGGGGCTTTTATGAAAATTAACGATGTCTCGAGTCTCTGATTTTGGTAAATTGGAGATTAAAAAAAAACAAAGATGTTTTATAATTAACTTAATGAGATTATAAGAAAAATTGGAGAAAATATTTTGTTTAAGGGGGGAAAAAATTGTTTACTAACTATTTTTTTTTTTTTACTTACAACCTACTTCTATTCTAATTTTTTCAACTTGTGATTTTTTATTTGCATCTTTTTTAACTTACAAGAATTTTTTTGTTTAATTTTATAACTTGTATTCGAATAATTTTTTTACAACCTTTTGCGACTAGTCTACAAACTTTTTATTTACGTTTTCTAAATTTATACCTTTTTTTAAAATATATTTTTTTATTTACAACCTTCTTTATTTTAAATCATTTGTACTTACAATCGTTTTAAGTTTACAACCTTTTTACTTACATTTTCAAAACTTATAACTTTTGCTGATATTTTTATTTACAACTTTCTTTACTGTAAATCATTTGTACTTGTGATTATTTTCTTAGTCAACATTTTTATTTACATTTCTCAAACTTACAACTTTTTTAATATTTTTGTTTACAACCTTCTTTACCTTATATCTTTACAACTTTACGCTTACAATCTTTATTTACTTACAGTTTAAAAACGGAAGGAAGTAAACAAAAAAGTTGGAAGTTAGTAGTTTCTTACAACCTTTTATTTACTTACAGTTTAAAAACGGAAGGAAGTAAAGAAAAGTTGAAAATTATTAGTTTCTTACAATCTTTATTTACTTACAGTTTAAAAACAGAAGGAAGTAAACGAAAGTTGAAAGTTTTTTATAATCTTTATTTACTTACAACTTCGAAAACGCAAAAGAATTAAACAAAAGTTGAAAGTTAAGTTTTCTTACAACCTTTATTTACTTACAATTTAAAAACGGAAGGATCAAAACAAAGGTTGAAAATTAGTAGTTTCTTACAACCTTTTATTTACTTACAGTTTAAAAACGGAAGGAAGTAAAGAAAAGTTGAAAATTAGTAGTTTCTTACAACCTTTTATTTACTTACAGTTTAAAAACGGAAGGAAGTAAAAAAAAGTTGGAAGTTAGTAGTTTCTTACAACCTTTTATTTACTTACAGTTTAAAAACGGAAGGAAGTAAAGAGGAAGTAAAGTTGAAAATTAGTAGTTTCTTACAACCTTTTATTTACTTACAGTTTAAAAACGGAAGGATCAAAACAAAGGTTGAAAATTAGTAGTTTCTTACAACCTTTTATTTACTTACAGTTTAAAAACGGAAGGAAGTAAAGAAAAGTTGAAAATTAGTAGTTTCTTATAACCTTTTATTTACTTACAGTTTAAAAACGGAAGGAAGTAAAAAAAAGTTGGAAGTTAGTAGTTTCTTACAACCTTTTATTTACTTACAGTTTAAAAACGGAAGGAAGTAAAGAGGAAGTAAAGTTGAAAATTAGTAGTTTCTTACAACCTTTTATTTACTTACAGTTTAAAAACGGAAGGATCAAAACAAAGGTTGAAAATTAGTAGTTTCTTACAACCTTTTATTTACTTACAGTTTAAAAACGGAAGGAAGTAAAGAAAAGTTGAAAATTAGTAGTTTCTTATAACCTTTTATTTACTTACAGTTTAAAAACGGAAGGAAGTAAAAAAAAGTTGGAAGTTAGTAGTTTCTTACAACCTTTTATTTACTTACAGTTTAAAAACGGAAGGAAGTAAAAAAAAGTTGGAAGTTAGTAGTTTCTTACAACCTTTTATTTACTTACAGTTTAAAAACGGAAGGAAGTAAAGAGGAAGTAAAGTTGAAAATTAGTAGTTTCTTACAACCTTTTATTTACTTACAGTTTAAAAACGGAAGGAAGTAAAAAAAAAGTTGGAAGTTAGTAGTTTTTTACAACCTTTTATTTACTTACAGTTTAAAAACGGAATAAAGTAAACGAAAGTTGAAAGTTTCTTATAATCTTTATTTACTTACAACTTCGAAAACGCAAAAGAAGTAAACAAAAGTTGAAAGTTAAGTTTTCTTACAACCTTTATTTACTTACAATTTAAAAACGGAAGGATCTAAACAAAAGTTGAAAGTCAAAAGTTTTCTTACAACCTTTTTTACTTACAATTTAAAAAAAGCGGAAGAAAATGAAGAAAAGTTTGAAAGAAAAATCATTGGCAAATCAGTGATGGTATTTTATATCAGTGTTTTAAGGCGGCCCTGGGGAACTTTTGCACATGTCTTGGGGGATTCTTCGTCCTTGTGCTGACGGAAAATTAGAGAGAACACACGACCAAGTTATAATCGATATCGTTGGTGTAGTGCGAAACACCAAAGGGCGGAGAGAGCAGCGTCAGAGTCGGTGGCGGGCAATGGTGGTGGTGGTGGCGGCAGCAGCAGCAGCCACCACCCTCGCCACCCAACTAAATTAATCTAAGTAATTCATGCCGAAGTTTGTTCTCCTGCCCTCCCCCCCTGCATGTACATACGTCGGTACGTACAGGTACTGTACGACTAACACACAGCACACCACTGGACTTTAACGATCGTCTACAAAATCGATTAGAAAGTAATCTTGAAATTGAACGTAAATTCAATATCCTTATTTTCTTTGTTACTCAAACAACGGTTCATAAGTAATTTACCTCTTTCCTGCCTCCTCAATACTTTATCATTATCAGGAGTAAATATATCTTTAAATTGATACCTTGTTCTTCGTTGGTTATATTCTGCTGTTTTTTGCACTTTTTTTTTTCTTTTTTTAGTTACATGTCTACTTTTATTTGCAATCTTCTTTATTTATAACCTTCTATTGGTTGTAATTGATTATTTAATGGGTTTTCTTAATTTAAAGTGACTTACAACCTTTTTTTTTTTTTTTTGATTTGCAGACTATTCTGTCTACATTGCTATTTTTTTTTAATTTTCTTTTGCAACGTTTCATTATTGTCACCTTTATATTTAGAATTTTTTTTTACAACCTTTGTTACAAATTTTGTTACCTACAATTATTTGTATTTACATTGTTTTCTGATTTGCAAACTTTTCTGCCATCAATGCTATTTATTTCTTCATTTTTTACAACCTTTCATTGTTTCGACATTATTTACATTATATTACTTATAACCTTTTTTAATTAATATTTTTGTTACTTATTATTTGTATTTACAACCTTTTCATGAATTGCAAATTTTTCTACCATCCTTTTTGTAAGCGTGTCTTAATTTTTTACAACCTTTTATCATTGCGACCTTATTATTTACCTTTCGCTGGGTTAGTGGACGTGTCCTTTTTTCCATTAACCCAGCGATTATACCTACAACCTTCGTTGCTTACATTACTTGTATTTGCAACCTTCTCTGTTTTTGAAATTTTTTACAACCTGTGATCTTATTATTTTTTTCCTTTACAACCTTTGTTGATTATAACCTTTGTTACTTACAATCTTTTTACTTACAACCTTTGTTACTTACAACCTTTGTTACTTACAACCTTTGTTACTTACAACCTTTGTTACTTACAACCTTTGTTACTTACAACCTTTGTTACTTACAACCTTTGTTACTTACAATCTTTGTTACTTACAACCTTTGTTACTTACAACCTTTGTTACTTACAACCTTTGTTACATACAACCTTTGTTACTTACAACCTTTGTTACTTACAACCTTTGTTACTTACAACCTTTGTTACTTACAACCTTTGTTACTTACAACCTTTGTTACTTACAACCTTTGTTACTTACAACCTTTGTTACTTACAACTTTTGTTACTTACAACCTTTGTTACTTACAACCTTTGTTACTTACAACCTTTGTTACTTACAACCTTTGTTACTTACAACCTTTGTTACTTACAATCTTGTAACTTACAACCTTTGTTACTTACAATTTTGTTACTTAAAACCTTTTTTACTTACAATCTTTGTTACCCGAAATTACTTGTATTTACAACCTTACCTAATTTGCAAAAATTTAGTTTACCACCTTTTCAGAATTGAAACTCTTTCAATCATAATCTTACACCCTTTTTGTACAATCTATTTGCAACCTCTTATTTACAACCTTCTTTTTTTATTTACATACCTATAGATTTATAAATTCCACATGGAAAATTTTCACTTAATCTCTCGTAGCAAAAATAATTGTCAATAAACATATTTATTATCCTATATTGTGACCATTTTATTGATTGTAATTTAATATTGATCGTGTATCGTAAATTTCCGTCCACATGTGACTTTTTGAAATATGTCCACGGCAAATGCGAGAAGAAAATGTCGAAAATGTATATATTTGGTCAAGTGAAGTGTCTAATCGAGAAAAGGGCAAACGACATAATTGGAAATGTGCTGAATGAAGGGAAGGGAAGGGGGAGAAGTCATGATTGAGGGAAAAGGGGTATGAGTATCAGCAAAGAGGTGTCAAGCTTTTCGTGGTGGTTATATGTATAGTATAGTGGTGGTGGTGGTAGGGACATAGAGCAGAAGGCTTTTGTCACCTCTCGCAGGTCTTTGATTTTGGTCCTGACGTACAGGTTTCGCTTTGGTCAACGTCCCGTGGAAAAGGCACCCTCGGTCCTGGATCTCCATTACGGTAGCCATGGCGACCGCAATTGATTCCACGGGGGTGAAGGTAGAGGAGAGTGAGATTTCGCAGCAGGAAGAGAACGAGGACGACGCGAAAGAGCAAGAGAGACCAAGTGGCAGACAGAGAGATAGAGAGAGAAAGAGACGAGGGGGGGGTCAGACAAGGGGTGGTAAATTTGAGAGGTTGAGGGTGATGACCGAGGGCATGGTGTTACTATGGTTTGGACCAGTGGACTCCCTTTATCCGATACAATGCAGGCTAAATAGCACTGGTCAGTTCCACGGGTGTTGGATTAGATGCGTCGCTCGTTTGAGGCGAACCCCCCCCCCCTCCCCCTCCACACCCCCCTTCATGTTTCGTTCCGCTAACTCGTCTCTACTACCGAAAACCGTCACACGTCGGAATTACCTGTAACGCATGCCGTCGAAAACCGTGGTCACCCTCTGATTCGACAGAATCAGTTAGAATCGATCTGAATTTTAAGAGAACGTGTGTATTCTCTCTCTCTCTCTCTCTGTGGTTCATGTCATTGTAGGTTAGGCTTGTATATATGTGTATGATGCAAAGACCAGGGGACAGAAAAAAAAGAACCAGCAAACGAATGTTGGAATTATTTTTGTACGTTCGAATCAATATTTGTTCGCAATGTTCTTTTTTAATGTCAGCTTTGTGTAGAAATAAAAATATTCAAAGAATTTAGGTTGTAAATAATAATTCTTGTATGGGAAGATGTGGATAAAAATTATTTTCGTTGAGAATGAGGCAACTATAAAAAAAATAGGAATTTTAAGTAATAAAGGTTATAAGAAATAAAAGTAATAAGAACTGAAAGTTGTAAAGGTTGTAAGTAATAAAAGATGTAATTAATAATTGCTATAAATAAAAAAGGTTGTAAGTAATTAAGGATATAGGTAATAAAAGTTGTAAGCAATAAAGGCTGTAAGTAATAAAAGTTATAAGTAATAAAGGTCGTAAGTAATAAAAGTTGTAAGTAGTTAAAAGTGTAAGTAATAATGGCTATAAATAAAAAGGTTGTAAGTAATTAAGGCAGTAAGTAAAAATGACTCAAAATAACAAAGACCGTAATTTTAATGGCTGTAAGTATATGAAGGCTATAAATAATAAAGGTTGTAAGTTATTAAGGCTGTAAGTAATAAAGGTTGTAAGTAATAAAGGCTGTAAGTAATAAATGTTGTAAGTAATAAAGGCTTTAAGTAATAAAAGCTGTAAGTAGTTAAGGCTGTAAGTAATAAAGGCTATAAATAATAAAGGTTGTAAGTTATTAAGGCTGTAAGTAATAAAGGTTGTAAGTAATAAAGGCTTTAAGTAATAAAAGCTGTAAGTAGTTAAGGCTGTAAGTAATAAAGGTTGTAGGTAATAAAGGCTTTAAGTAATAAAGGTTGTAGGTAATAAAGGCTTTAAGTAGTTAAGGCTGTAAGTAATAAAGGTTGTAAGTTATTAAGGCTGTAAGTAATAAAGGTTGTAAGTTATTAAGGCTGTAAGTAATAAAAGTTGTAAGTAATAAAGGCTTTAACTAATTAAAGCTGTAAGTAGTTAAGGCTGTAAGTAATAAAGGCTATAAATAATAAAGGTTGTAAGTTATTAAGGCTGTAAGTAATAAAGGCTATAAATAATAAAGGTTGTAAGAAATTAAGGCTGTAACTAATAAAGGCTACAAATAATAAAAGTTGTAAGTAATTACGGTTGTAAGTAATAAAAGTTGTAAATATTAAAGGCTGCAAATAATAAAAGTTGTAAATAAAGAATAAAAATATTCAAAGTAAGAAAAAGTTGTAAACAAAAAAAAATAAAAGAAAATTGTTCGTTTTTGAAAAAAAAAATTAACATTTTCTATGGGAATAAAAAATGTTTCTATATACATAAAATGATATTGAATATATCAAAATCACTTTCGTTTTCAATGTATATATATATATGTATAAATATATGCTTTTAACAGTTGTCTCAGTGGATTTAAAACCATACGCGAGCTATTTTCGATTTCACGGGTGCGGAGTA